TCAACATTTTTTCTGTTTTAAACATGCATGCACAGATTTTATGTTCCAATGAGAGATGGGGTTGTACAAATCCAGAATATTATATTTTTATATATTAATAAAATAATGAAATAAGATGTAGAGATTAATCTTTACCCATTCAAAACATGCTGAGTACATAAGAGACATCAGAACTCTCTTGTCATCATAACTTCTGTACAGTGTTGACTTCTGTGAATTTAGAACCTTGTGCTAATACCATCCATTGTGAAGGAAAACTATTTCGGTGTATTTGAGTAGGGAGCATTAATTAACCTTTACCAACGTAATTTATTACTTCTTTAAAAAGGTATCAGTAGAAACTGAAGATCATCAGCTCACATAATTGAAAGATAAAAGCAATATTTATCTCTGAGCAGGTTTGGAACTAGGGGCTCTGAGCAGGTTTGGAAATATGTAATCACAAATGAAATATTACTCATCACCACACTGAAGACTCACATGGAGATGAATCATACCAATATTTTACTACAGTATAAACCCAGTTCCCTATTCAGGTAAGCCTCCCATTTACTTCCAAAAGTTTAATTCTGGAACTAAAGAGATTAGTGCAAGATAACTTTCTATTAGACATTAACATGACATCACTGATTTTGCATCTTAAAATTAGAGTGCACTCTGCCCTGGTCTCGTTCCTTATGGCCTCTTCAGTTTGTTCTCTTCTTCCAGGTCAGTAACTTTCAAAAGGTTCTAGGTGACTAGCAAATACTGCATTGGCCCAAAATGTTTCTTATTAAAGTTATTTTTCTAATCAAGTTTGTGCTATGTTCAAAAAAAAATTCTCATGTACTTTTGTTCCAGTATCTTACACCAGACAAAAATGACCTACCCTTAATTCAATAACTGGACATGAATGTCTGTTATTGTGCTAAATAAATTTGAAAAATTAAACTCCTAAATGCAGCACCATGAAAAACCATTGTCCCAGAAGTTAAAATTAGAGCTTTAACAACTCAACTGAAGTATATTTATAGGCAAGATCCTGGCCCATAGCCTGGACCTTTTATGCCACTTCTGAGTATGCCAAAGGGCTCAGAAACTGTCTTAATAGGGCAGCTGAGGATTCCCAAACCAGAAGTTGGTTTAGAGTTCTTATAGTAAACAGGCAACTGAGACTGACAAAGAAAAGAGTGCTGCAATTAAAACAAAACAAAACAAAAACAAGCCATTAGATATTTTCTCTGAGACCAAAAAACATTGAACAAAGAACACTGTAAGATGGGGTATGTCTACACTATCCCGCTAGTTCGAACTAGCGGGGGTAATGTAGTCATCCGCAGTTGCAAATGAAGCCCGGGATTTGAATTTCCCGGGCTTCATTTGCATGAAGCCGGCCGGCGCTATTTTTAAATGCTGGCTAGTTCGGACCCCGTGCCGCGCGGCTACACGCGGCATGGACTAGCTAGTTCGAACTAGCCGGCATTTAAAAATGGCGCTGGCCGGCTTCATGCAAATGAAGCCCGGGAAATTCAAATCCCGGGCTTCATTTGCAACTGCGGATGACTACATTATCCCTGCTAGTTCGAACTAGCGGGGTAGTGTAGATATACCCATGGAGTCCAGGTTGATGGAAGGAATGCTCATTTTTTAGAAAAGCCAGTCTTCTAGAGCCTCCAAGTTGCAGACTGAATGGGGGCTTCCGATTGCAACTGTTTAGCAACATGAGTGAGTTGCCGCACACACTCT